GGTAATTGTGGACTTGTTCGTCTTACATCACCATTTGTTGAATTGAATGGTGTATAAACATCTGATGTTCGATTTTTTCCTATATTAATATAATATGAAATATTAAATCAAATTAATAGAATAAAACTTACCTGATACACTAGATGCACCTTCACGTGAAACAGTATGAGCAACTTCAGTTGTTTTTCCTGTTCGACTATTGGTAACACCAGGTCTTTGTAATGCTAGATATGAACGTAAATTAAGTGATGGTACACATGGATCAATTGAATTATTAGCAAATGCAGATAGAAGAGGTGTACTAGTATGAGATATTGGCATCATTGTTCGTTGAATATCATATTCTTGTAATTTTGTCATATCACCTAATTGTATAGTAAATTGTTGAGTATGATCGCTACCATTTGGATCATAATGTTGTCTTGTTGGTGATGATCGTGGTTTAACAACACTTTGATCGATCTATTTAATGTTAATAAAAAATATGTGATGAATTAATTTATTGTCTTTTTTATATCTTACATTAAAAACTCGTTCGTCCTCATCGGACGCTTTCACTGATGATGTTGGTGTTGTTATATGTTTATTTGTTTCGTATTGATAATATGGAAAAGTTGATTGACGACTAGCATATTGATTTTTTTTAATTTCATTTTCATTCGATATTGTTTCTCGTCGACGTTTTTCTTGTTTCATATAATTTTGAGTAGCCGCTCTTAATATATCAAAATATTTGAATTAATTTCATTAAATTTTTCTCAAAATACTTACCGTCCTTGATATGAATAAAGTGGACGTATCAAAAAAATACTATTTTCATCTTCGAGATTATCAAATTTCTCCGTTAATACTTCAGCTAAATGTGTACGTTCTTGACGAATACCTAACATTTGTTTACTTATTTCATCTGCACGCTAAATTTACACAAAAGATTTTATTTCCAAAAAAAAATTAAATAAAAACATACTCGTTCACAGAATGATTCCATTTTTTCTAAAACATCTTTTGTTTCATTATCATAAATATCACTTTGAATACGATCTAAAAATTAGAAAGAAAAATTATAACCTACAACATCAATCTATTAACCTTCAAGTTCTGTTGCTTTTCGGAAGTGTATATATCGTTTTACAAGATTAGCAAATTGTTGTGATGGTAAACGAACATAGTTTTCCATTGCTTCATTTAATTCCTTTAAAAAGAAAAGCAAAAACATCATTTTTTATTCAATTTTCTTCTTTTTCTATTTACATTATATGTTGTTTCAAGTACTTTTCCTTTGTGAACTGCTTGTTGAAGTGTTTGTTCATTTCTTTCGGCATCAAGACGAGTAAACATAATACTTGGTTCAATAACTCCATCGACTTCGATTTTTGTAAGACGTTTTTGAAGACGAATAATTTGTTGTTGAAGATTTTGTATTAATTTCTGTTGATCTTGAACTAAACGTTCATTTTGACTATTTAAATCAAAAAAAAAGAATTAAATGAGGAAAAACTAAATAAAGATTTTTGTTTACGTTGATTCTTCTTCATGTTTTGTATTTATTTGATTAAGAGCATTTGTTAACTGTTCATATTTTGCTGTTAAATCAATAATCATAGATTCTTTTTGTTCAAGAAGTAATGCTTGTTGTTCTTCAATCAATGAAGTTTCTCTAGGTGGTTCCACTGGTTCTTTAACAATTTCACTTTCTTTTCTTTTATATTCATTAATTGATGCTAATAAATGTGTTATAAATGTATGTAAAACTTTCCATGTATCTGTAATAACACGATCTGAATTTTCAATATAATCATTTGATGTGTAATGATCATCAGTTGATAATTGTTTTATCATTGTAAGACGATCGGCAAATGTAAGCCATTTATTATGTTCAAGTAAATTTATTATTGATTGACGAAATTTATATACCATATCATATAAATAAAAAAATGGAAGTTTACGTTCATCTGTTTGTGTCGTTTGTGGAAAAAATCTAAATGATTAAGATAGAAAAAAATTGAAAATAATTCATAAATATACTTGTCACTATATCTTGTTGAACAACGTGAAGTAACAGCTGATGTTTGTTGTTGTTCATCTTGTGTAATCACTAGTTTAATAAATGAAATAAATTTTTCTTAAGATTTTGTGTTTTATTACTTTCTATTGATATCACTGATGTTTCTTCTCTTCGTGATGTTCGACGTGATGCAGGATCTGGTTGATTTCTATGATGACCAAGTTGATTTTTTCTTTCTTCAATAAATGATTTATAGTTTTCTATTGATGCTGTACGTCGACCATCTTTGCTATCATCATCTGCAAGATTATCGTCCTAAAATTTATTTTCTTTATCTTCGATTAAATATTAGATATAATTACATCGGAATCAGATAAATGATTTGTGACTTCTATGATTGGAATAGAATCCGGTGTTGAAATTGAATCATGAGTGTCTTCATCCTGAAAAAATATCACTATATTTTGTAGCACACATAATACGTTTCTCTTTCAATAATTTATTAAAAATATAAAATTTATCTTACTGTTTGTGTTTGTTGATGAATTATCTGAAAAACAAAATAAATCAGATTTCTTGTTAATAAAACGAACAAATTATTTATTTACTGGTCCGTTTTGTTTAGCCAAAATTGTTTCTAAATGGCTTAATGCTTCTTCTGCTTTAATTTGTAATTGATGAGCATTATTTGCTTTTTCAGTTAAAATATTTCGTTCCTTAAATTTATTTATACATAAAAATTAAATATACAAGTATTATTTTCTTACTTTTTCACAGGCTATTTTATGATCTTTATATTCTTGTTTTAGGTTTTCGAATCCACTAGCATCTGTTGATCCATTCATTGCAAGTTCTTTCTGTAATTCTTTCACACGTATAACAGCCTAGATAGAAAATTTATTTATTTATTCATTATACATCTAAACATACGAATTTTCGTAGATCCATAAATTTCACTGGTAAATTTTCATTTGTAACATTATTTAAATCAGTATCATCAGTTACATTAAAGAATGCATTAAGATCAGGAACACTATCATCGGCAGATATTTGATAATTAGAACGAGCTATTTCAGGTCGTTGATGAAGTGTTTGTGTTTCTCTATCCTAGATATAACATTTTATTAATAATTTATTAGTTAGAAAAGAAAATCTTACATGAAGTATTTTTTCTGGAACTTCTTCTTTTTCCGGTACAACTGGTACTTCAATTATCTTTTCAATTATAATTGGTTCAGGTACTTTCGATAGAAAACAATGTAAAATATTAAAAGAAAAATAATAGATATTTGTAATATTACGTACCAGGTCTATTGTTCTCTTCCTAAATTTAAAAATAGTACTTTATATAAAACTATTCATGAATTGGATTGTATTTAATATGAAATCTATTAGCAATGGAAGGTAAATATGAGAGGGGATTTAGGGCAGTTGCTCGCAGAGTAGGGACCTGTGGAGTTAACATTTTTTGGCTCCGACTCTGCCTCTGACGGAGTCGGAGTAATAATCGGGTTTCGGAGTACTCCGTAGCTTCCTATCGCAGAGGTATTTTCTCGCGAATTTTAACCTTAATGCTGCTACTTAAGTGATTGGAGGCAAGTACATCTAGTTCGGCAAGTAACTGTCTGTTTCTTCCATTCTCTATCCTATAATTAACTAAATTTTAATCTTATGTTTCATTTATACTTATTTTAGATCGTAATCCATAAATTTATAGGAAATAATTCTCACAAGTCTTCTATTCATTATTATAAATATTTACATCTATTCTATCTTGTTCCATTTGTGATATTGTTTTTTGTAATTCAGCAATTTGATCTTCATATTGTTTAATCGACAATGTTAAGTCAGTAATATTTTTATTAAGAGATTGTATTTGTAGTGTATTTTGAATTACATCTTGTTGTAATTGTTTCTATTAAAAAAAACAAATAAAGAAATTTTAAGAAAAGAAATTTTTTTATTTTACGGCAAAGTCTGATTTAGATTTTAAATCACGTTGTAATTTTTCAACGGTTTTTTCTAATGTATCGATTTTATTATCTTTATTGTTTATATCTATAAATAAATAGAAAAATAAAATCTTAGAATTCTATCTATATTCAATACCATTATATGCTGTTTCTAATTTTTGCTGAAGAGCTGAGACTTGATCTTTTGATTCTTTTGTAGCTTGTGCTAATTTCTTTTTTCCTCTGTAATACAAAATTAAAATAAATCAAAATTCTTAGTTTACATTTTACTTTAATTGTGTTCTTGCTAGAGCATTTTGAATTAAATATTGAATAATATCCTCATTAAGTTCACTTAATTTTGTACCTAATTGTTTTACATGAATAAAACAATCTTTAGCATCAAATGAGCTAAGCATTATATCAACTTCATCTAGTGTTTCAGTTGGGGTATCTTCAGCATTAAATTCATCACCACTAAAACTTTGTTTTTGGTCATTAAAAAACTAAAATAAAAAACAAGAATTTTGTGTTTTCTTTTGTCTTTAAAATCTAAATCAATAATTACCCGTTGGAGTTGTATAAGAAGAGCTGCTTTTTCGCTAGCTAATTCAGTTTGTCCAACAATAAAAACAGTTAAACGTTGTTTATACTAAAAACAAAAACAAAGAAAAAAAAATGTTTTATTTTTAAATTTGATTAATCTACTTTTTGTTTAGCTAAAGTATCGTTTAATAGATTTTCTAATTCTTGTATATCAGCAAGATGTTCAACACTTGCTTGTTCATCACGTGTCATCCCATGTTGAGTAAGAGATGATAGAACTGAATTTTCATAACTATTTAATGTCTAAATTATATTGAAATAGAATATTGTAAGAAAAAATAAATTAAATTTCATACAGCATCGACACGTTTGAGTACTTTATTTAATTCATCTTTTGTCTGATCGGCAATACGTTGTAAACGATTTCGTGTATTTTTTTCAATAACTTCACGACCTGGATCACGTTCATAATGATCACTATCATCATCTGAATTATATTTGTATCTCGATGGCATCCTTTATTGTATTATCCAGGTGAAGAATAATGTCTAAATAAACATGTAAATTTTTTTCTCATAATGTATATTCATCATTCAATAGACTAAAGTTGGCTTCTGTTCATAAATTAATATTTTATGAGACTAAAGAACAATGAAAAAAAAATGTCAGTATATTTTTCTCAATTGAATTTCTTCCAACATGTGCCATACTTTTTTATATAAATTATTTTACATAGTTACAATTCATCATTATAAAAAAAAAGAAAATTAGTGTACTATTATTTATATCGATCCAATACATGTATATATATTAAATGAAGAAAAAAATGAATATAATATATTTCAGTTGAATCAACTTACTTTAACTTATTTCTTATTTTTGTCTTGCTATTTTCTTTACCATCTACAACACATATACAAACACGTTGTTTGTGTTCGGTCTGTATGACAGTTTTTAAACTTGAGAAAAATGAATTTAATTCATGCATGCACACATACATATGCATAAAGAATCATTTTTTATTTGTCCTCTCATCATCAACCTACACACACAAACATACTTTGATGGTACCATAGAAGCGTTCGTTTTTACGCCTGCAGGAACAAAAAATTCTGAATCATTTATATAGAAAATAAATCCAATGGAATTCAAATAAAATTTTGAAATTTTGATTCTATTCAGAATAAACAGATAATAAAAATAAATTGGATTTTTTTTATGTTTTATGATTAAATGTATTTAAGATAATGTCTACGGAATGATTACGATGTATTTCTAGAAAATTCTAAATATTATAACAGTTTTAGTTTCTGTTGTTGATTATGAATCTGAGGTGATGATTTTATTTAGAATACATCTGGCATATATCATGACCAAGTATCAGTTCAAATGGTTCTTGACAAGTGTTCTACTTGAACATATTTCGTTCATGTTAAATACTTGTACATGTTTGTTTATAGCTGAAAGAATAGAATTTCAAGGACTTTCAGAAACTAAAACAATTTTTAGGATGCTATTGCTAAGTAAAATTAGAAAAGAATTCTCACAAAAATTATATTTATAAACTATTGATCTTGAAGTCTTGAAAAATGATATCCTGTCTTTTCATTCAATACAATCTCATATACACTATATTTTAAAAATAGTTTTGTGTTAATTATTCCAATATGGTATGTTTATATGTTCAGAATATGATTCAATGCTTTGAAAATAAAATTTATTTAAAATATTTAGTTGATTAAAGATTAAATCGAAATAAAAAAAGTGAGTTATATTTGTGAAAGAATTGTTATAACCAAAGGAAGTATCCATTGAAAGTTCATGCACGTCACATACAATATACCAAGTGCTGCATTTGATTCCGGTGTTGTTGTAGTGGTAGAATCTTCAGTAGTGATTGTTGCTGGCTTATTTGTTGCCAAAGGTGTTACTACTGCAGGTTTTTCTGTTGTAGTCACCATTGGTTTAGTAGTAGTTGTCACTGTTCTTGATGTGGTCACCGTTATTGTAGTAGAAGGTGTTACGGTTTTAGTTGTTTCTGCTGTCGTTGCTAAAACTATACTCGACAATTCGTATTCATCTATCAATTGTTTTACGTATGCATCTGTTTCAGCTCCATTACACATTGGTTTATTACAAGCATAAGTAAATATTGTTGTAGTATTTGATCTTCCTTCGGTATTCGACTGTATAAATATACCTGATGGATTAATACCTAGACCTTGAGAAACACAGCTACGATCAACATGAGATTCATCACCACGAATCAATCGACAAAATCCATTGGGACACGGAACACTTTCATCTTGATTATTTGAACATGTAAGATCATGCACATACGGATTAGAAAAATACAAACGTTCCCGTAATTTTCCGCGAAATTCATCATGTTTAAAAGTTTTCACTAAGAAAAAAACAATATTCAAAAGTATATTTCAGTTTCTTATTTATAAATTTTATTCATCAAACTTACTCATGTTATAAGTTGTATTCACATCTTCAACACAGCCTGAACTATTGAGACACATCGATTGAAATGATATTGTAGTTATATCCTTATTAAACAACATCGAAATCGATTTTGTATTTGTCTTGTGTTCATTCGTAAAAATCATAACTTGTTCAGGAAGATGAGTAAAAATCACAGAAGCATTTTCATTTCCAAATTGATAAGTTAACATAGACATACACATTTGACTGGATTTATCTTTTGATTCACATTCAGATCGTGTTGTGTTTAGCACTTGTGAAGAATCGAGTTTTATAATCTGATCACATTCTAAACATTTAATAGCTAAAGCGATGGTTGGCAAGCATAGAAGAAAAATAAAAGTAATCAAATAGTCGAACATATTAGTGTAATATGAAATATAATATATGATATACTCAGTTATTCCTATTTCATATATATATAGTTAATTTGATCTTTTACTTTTTATTTTCAAAGAGATGTTTTTATCAAATATTTATCTCGTATTAATTCTTCTCCACCCCTACGTTTGTTAACAATAACTCGTATGTACTTAACGATAAATTTAATATTATACCACACACAATTTAGGTGTTATCGTCATTGAATGATTAGTATAGTATTTGTTATTAGCTTAAGTTATAATATTTTTAAATCATCGTTTTTGTCATGAAGTTTTGACTAATATGTAGAAAAAAGAAGGCATTTTTTGTGAATTTATATTAAGCATTTAAAGATAGAAAAAACTTCGTTTTTATATTAGTATCAAAGATTTATAGAATTGTCTCATACGATAAATCATACTTATACAATGTTGAGTAAACATCTATAAAGCAGAGACAGTAGAGAAATGAATTCATGCGCAAACAATTTGTTCGTGAAGCAAAAAGACAAAAAAAAGCATTTCCTTTGATTATTTATTATTTAGTCAAATTCATATGAAGTATTGAATTATATAAGTCTTTATTTATTGAAAAAAAGTTGTCATTAAAATGAATAAGATACATTGAATACCAATCACAGACTGAGGTAACATTCTGATTATTAAACTTTTCGACTTCACGGTTGTTGTAATTATTCCAAATATTGGTTGTTCAAAAAATGGTATTAGCAAACCATAGTCTGTTAATGTTCTTCGTATTTCTTGTGCCATTTTCAAATTGTTACACATACGTTGATTACAAATGTACATGAAAGGAGATCTTTTTTCAAAGTCATTTACCATACTTGATCCTATGAGAATACTCGGCGAAAACATTGAAGAATCTTCTGGAATACAATTACGAGTAAAGCCAAATTCACCGTTATCGATTAACTGGCAAAAACCATTAGGACATGGAATTGTTTCATTCTGATTGTTTTCACATAAAAGATCATTGGAATTTGAAGAATTATATAATTTCAATTGAAGCTCTTCTCGAAGTGAAATGATTCTTGATGGATGCACTTGCGGAAAACCTAAAATGAAAATAATATTTGATTAAATTCAATTTCACTTGTTAGTTATGCCTTATATAAAAAAATATGATGTATGTATATTGCTTTTTACACAGATATTCGAAAATGACTGTATTATAGTACTTACTTATAGTACTAATAATTCGTCTAATATCTTGTACGCAAGAATTGTTATCAAAACAGTATACTTGGATTATACGTTTCAGTTTTAAAGTATCGAATGATATCTGCATATTATGTGTAATTATTCTCGTTTCTTCTGATACATTCCATGAATTTTGTGATAAACCGTCAAAGATTACAGATAAACTATTATTGTAATAATCCATTTGTAATGTAGCCATACATATTGTCCTGTTTTCAGTTCCTAAGGTACAGTCTGATGTTATGTCAACCATTTGTGAAGAATTTAAAGGTTGTACTTTAGAACATTTAAGACATTGCAGAGAAACAGTTATCATTGGTAACTGCATAATAAATACCGAAATAATCAGTAACGAAAACATTCTTTTTGGGTTTAATATAATAATAATGAGTTACTTGTCTGACTCGATTACTTATATATCATATTCGAATGCGTCGGCGAGATCGAATTATTACTGTTAGTTTTTCTTGTGGAGCAATGTTTTTATCAGATATTTTTGATATTTTAGCTCGTGTTGACGTATTTTGTCGTGTATATTACGATTAGTACGTACAGTGATTAATTTAAACTGAAATCCGATAATATGTCAGGAAATGATTACCACCTACGATATCATTAATCCAGTGTTTGCTTTTTTTAGGATCTTGAATATGTGATCATAAAAATAAATGTATAACTAATGTTTTTTTACAGATATTGCAAGATTTATGTACGAAAATTATAATCAGGAACAATAGATTATCATTTCTCTATAAATTTATCACGAGCTTTTGAAATTTATAAAGAGTTAAAGCTTGAAAGTTCTTCAACAACGATCATTTAACAATAGACTCATTCCTATCTCGATAATGTTACAGTATCAAAAGAAGTGTTGATAATAATAAGATAAGTATTATTTAGATCTTGAAATAATCGAAAGTTTTTCTTTTCTACAGAATTTTATCCAATAAATATGTATCGAAATATGCAACAACATGTGTAATTTGAAATTAAATAATAGTATACAAAACATTATATATGACGATAATCCAAAGTACATACTTATAATCTCTATTTTTCTGAAAACTAATGACGTCGATAGTGTAAAATTATCGAATATTACGTAGGTGTTTTATTATATTAATAAAAGATGTGTTTATTTTCGAACAAAAACTTTAACTATCATAGTTAATAGAGGGCCCTGAAAGGTGCGGATAAGATTGAGATTGAAAGAGTTGTTTAACAATTACTATACATGCTCATATTATTTACCATTGAAGTATAATATAGATTTTTTTTCTTTAATACTAGTAAAATTAATCATAGAACAATTCTTGTTACAAGAACTGATTGAATTTTGTTGGAAAATAAATGTATAAAATCTCCGAAAAGTATTCTCTTGTTTTTCTGTTATCTATATTAATTTAGATAGTTTTTGAATAATAGGACTACAAGTATTAATCTAGTCGATATTGTATTAGTTTACGAGAAAAAAAAACGACTCAACATTCTCGTATGTTAATTCATTCGGACGGAAAGATTTTTTGATCCAGTCTTTTCGTTCTATTTTATATCTATATTGATGCATCAGAATCTATAAGCAAGAAATCTAAATTATATCATATAATTCATTCTTTATACATATGATCGAGCTAATTTTATAATGTTCGATGATCTATATTCAATAAGATGAATAAATAATTTATATTTACTGACAAATCATCTTTATCACATATAGTACAATTGTAATGTAGACGTTGTCAAGTTCCTAAATATATTAATTGTATTTGAGCGATTTAATGAATTCGACTAGAATATTTAAAATTTCATTTCAATGTTTTTGCTTTACAAATTGTTATATTTGATTCAACTTTTCGTACAATTATTGTTAAAATAAAGATTTCAATTGCTAACCATGTTTTGTGATGCACGAACTAAACCTTTATAGATAAGATTTACTTTGTATATCTATAAACTAGTAAAAAAGAAAATTTATGAGTTCATAGAAATCGCAAGAAATTATCAACGATATATATAGATTGACTTAAGACTAATCACTTTTTAATAACAACAGATTTATCGCATTTCATATTTTATTTTTATAAGAGCTGTGCTAACAATTTCTTTTATATGATGATGTTTCTTCAAAATGAATTGTACTTCGTATATTTGATCATGTCGAATTTTTTTTCAAAACGTATAATTTTTATACTCGATGCTTTTATGGAACTTCTCGAATAATAGAGAAACCTTCATGTTTCTGTCAGTTAAATTTACTATCAAAATCTCTTTTTGCATATATTTTTCTTAATAACATGATAATCTAACTGATAACGATAAAAGTCTCATATTGAATTGTTCCTTTTTCATCGATCATAAATACAATACAAGCTCTATGTATATACATACACATACAAGAAAAAAAAGTTCTTTTTCCTATGTGTATTAGTAATCGCGGACAACAATAACCCAATATTTCTTTCATCTTTTGTGTATGTGTGTATGCGATCAGAACGAAAGAAGAAAAAGAAACCAACTCTTGTGTTCTTTTCTTTTCTTTGCTTCCATTTTATCCGGTGTCAAACCGTAGACGCCATTTTTGTCCTATGCACAACAGTACGATGCGTGGCTCATTGCTCATACCTCGTAGATATTTCAGTTTATTTTTAATTATTATTTGTTGTTGGTTACTCATTTACTTTTATACAATGCATTTGAAAAATTCTTCAATAAATTCTACTCACGATAGCAACGGTATTTATTCATATTTCAAAGCTCAATCATCTAATATTACTCCACATGTATCTGCACATAATATTCTTCTTGTTCTACGTACGTCGAAAAGAACACAACACATGCGTATACCTCCTATTTTAAATACATGGTTTCAATTTTCTCCAACGACAACTTATATTACAACGAATAGTGATGCTACATTTTTTCAACGTTACCTTTCGAAACAATATCACCAACAGGTATATTATACGAATTGTACACAAGCACATTCTATTCATGATTTATGTTGTCAAAGTGCATCAGAATTTCATATTTATTTTCAAAATGAAAATAAATACGAATGGTTATGTCGTTTTGATGATGATCAATATGTAAATGTTCCATTACTTATAGATTATTTAAAACAATATTCGCCAAATCAACAACCATTATATATTGGTAAACCAAGTTTAAAAGAACCGAAACGTGGCCGTGGTCTAGAATTTTGGTTTGCTACATATGGTGGTGGAGTTTGTTATTCAAAATCTCTTCTACATAAAATTTATGACGATATTCAACCGAATAAAAAATTTATGGACGGTTGTGTATCATCGAATTTTCCTGATGATACACATATAGCTTATATACTTCGAAAAAAATATAATATTAATTTAACTGTTGCAAATGATTTTCATCATCATATCGAAGGAAATTTATTTACGAATTTAACAAATCCATTAAATATTGATCAAGCGATTACATTTGGTTTTAAAGGTAATAATGTTCCTCGATTTTTACCTCTCATTAAAAATGATGTATATCGTATGCAAACATTACATTGTTTATTATATCCAGATAAAAATTGTATGCGTTTATTAAGAATTTTATTAAATCAATTATTTGAAGAAAAATATGGTTAATTTTTATCGATGATTTCAATTATGAACAAATCGATCATATAGTAAAAAAGAATGCAGAAGAAGAATTATTTTTCTATAGTAATACAACATGAAGAAAATAAGATTGAACAAAAAGCAAAATAGAGAAGAAATCTATGGCTGAATGCTAATATTTTTTCTTATCATAAACTCAAAGTATCGTGTTTTAGTTGTTGTTTTTTTTATATCGATATTAAATGAAAGAATAAACAATAAAAATAGATAATGTGCCTACGGAATATATTATTTTTTTAGACTGATCAAGACAAAAAAAAAGAATGTACATCTATCATTGGAATTATGTTTAGAAAGTATATTATATATGTTTCAATGACTAGTTTCATCGGGATTATTGCCGTTGATCGAATTATTACTCGTTGAAGATATTTCGTTGAAAATAGAATAGTATTTACAATTTATTCTTTTTGTATTATGAAAGAATGAATAGTAATTGCTATTCTATTAGTAATCTTTAAGAAAATGTCTTTTTTGTTTCATTTATCTTCAACTGAATAATCATTTGATCAACGGCTTTTTATATGTTTTTTTTTTAATTGACGAAACAGTTGTTTTTTGTTTATCCCATTCCTAATGGAGATGCCGGTTGAGCTTGTTGCGAAAGAATAGAAGTAGATGGTTGTTGTTGTTGAGAATTATTTGTAGGTGGTGCTTCAAGATTAAGTATTAATTGTGATAACCATTTTTTAGTTGATTGATCATCTTTAAGAACAATATCCTAAAAGAAATGAATGAATATATAATCTCGTTTGAAAAAAATTATTTACAAATGTATGATCTTTAAGACAATCAGGAAGACATGAACGTAGAGCTTCACGAGCTCGTGGATTATCAGATAAACGTAAATAACATCGAATAATATGTTTTAATAAACGACCACTTGGTTCTCGTTGCTATGAAATAATAATTTATTTTTTTATTAAATAAAAAAGAAGATTTCTATCAAACCTGTTGAAGTACCATTCGTCCAAGAACCATAGCAACATGTGAGAATCGATCAAATGTTTGACAAATATAATTTAAACCGGAATCATCAGCAAGAATTTTTTGTAAAATAAATGTTGCAACTGTTTTAGATAATTCACTACCTGATTGCATTATACGTAATGATAATGGTATAATTTCTGTTGTTAATAAAAAATTAATCACTTCAGTTTCATCTGTTTTAACAAGTGCACCAATAACACCTAATGATGTTAAACGAAGGTATTCAAATGGACGTGTAGAAGATTTTGTATTAAGAAATGGATAAAGAAATAATGGAACATTTGCTTGAATGAAAAGTGTTCGTGTTTCAGGATGCGATGCAATACATTGTAATAAAGCTAAAGCATTACAAACACGATTTGATTGTTGAGCAGTTAAAGTCGGTGGTGTTATGTATGGATAAACTGAACTAAAGACAAAAATGAGAAATAGAAAAAATTGATTCATTAATTAATAATAACAACTAACATCACTTCATAGAGAAGTACAGCAACAGATCCAAATGAATTCCAAAGTAAAACTGCTAGATCAGAAACTTTTTCTCGCTTACGACTTAATTCCATTAAAGCAGCTTCACGTGTTGATGATGAAAGTAATTCAGTTATCCAAACAGCAATACGTTCACGTGATACAGGAGTATTATTAGCACTGTTTGATGGTTGACCGGAATTTGTACTAGAATTATTTGAGAGTTGACCACTAGATCCAACTGATGGTAAACCATTACCACCACCATTTCCTGGTGTACTTGGATTAGGTGGTGGTGTTGAAGACGTGGGTGATATTATATTCATTGTTTACAAAGAAAGAAAGAAAAATGAAAGAATCTAGAATAAGACACTTCAAAAATTAAATACAAGTATTTTTTTTCTTGAAATTTTTGTTGATTGTTTAATTTATTTTACATGTAATATTTTTAACGAAAAACAACATTATTAACAAATAGATCGGATAAAATTTCTTTTCTTTCTGTTATGTTATTTGGTTTAATCTGTTTGCCTAAATAAATTTTCAAATTTATTTTATGTAAAAGTTTTATTGGTTTAATAAAAAATCCTATTAAAATAAATATAGAATGATGTCGCTCATGTAAATAATTCTCAAAATTGAAAGTATATATATAACACGAACTATACTGACAAAAAATGAATGTGTACAAATAGAGACACTCTTTTCCTAATTATACAGTGTTATTAGTACTTGTCACGATTCATTAAACACAACTAATTACTACTGAGACAGAAGAAAAACTTTATATAGGCGTTTACAATATGTGAGTAGTTGCATTCTAAATATATATTTTCCGGATCGTCATGGATGAATAAGCTGAAAAGTTGTTATAAATTAAATTCTATAGATTCTTATCCAGGTTTTTGTTTTAGATATATATGAATAACTTCTTAGAAATATGAAACGCGCGTTTATTAAATTCTTCTTCGTATTTTTTCTTTGTATATCATACAAAATGAAGGTAAAATCAATTACAATTGTTGTATTAGATTAATAGTATTTCTACAATGTCATCGGTAATCTAAAAAAAAATATTAGTTTTTAATTCGTTATTTCTTTTTTTTTTTGCTTAGCAAACAAATGTCAATACTTCTGTTATTGAAGATTTTGAACTGAATTATGAATCATCGTATAAATTTGAAAATACAATTGATTTAAATAAATTCGAACTTATTATGACACTTGGACAAGGTTCATTTGGTCGAGTTCTATTAGTTGTATCTGAACTAGATAAACAAAATTATGCTCTTAAAGTATTAGATAAATCTCAAATTGTTAAATATAATCAAATAAGACATGTTCAAAGTGAAATACGTATTCTTAATGCAATTAAACATCCAAATGTGATTTTAATGTATTCATTATTTAAAGATAATTCTTATATTTATCTACTTATGGAATATGTAAATATCGAGAAAAAATTTTTATTGAAAATATTTTTTTTTGAAGATTCCTGGTGGTGATTTATTTAATTATATAAAGAGATTTAAAGTATTTCAAGAACATATTACATTATTCTTTGCTGCACAAATCGTTCTTGTAAGAATAAAAATTTTTACAAATAAAATTATTTTTTATTTGTTAGGTATTTGAATATTTACATTTTTTTGATATTGTCTATCGAGATTTGAAACCAGTAAGTTTACTTGATTAATTATACACATTCTATTTTTTATATTAAACTTAAATATTCTCAGGAAAATATTCTTGTGGATATTCATGGTTACTTAAAGGTAAAATAAAATTTCGATGTTCATTTAACAGTCTATTTTAGCTTGCAGATTTTGGTTTTGCAAAACGTATTCAACACCGAACATATACAATTTGTGGTACACCTGATTATTTCAGTCCGGAAATAATTCAATCGAAAGGTTAGAGAAAAAAACTAACATATCGAAATTATTTTCATTCGGATTTTTATAGGTCATGGTAAAGCAACGGATTGGTGGACTTTAGGAGCAAGAATGCTTATTTCATTCTATTAAAAACTTTTTCTTAAAATGAAATTCTTCTTATTTTATAGATTCTTATTTATGAAATGTATACAGGTTATCCACCATTTAAAGGTCAATCAGAAGTTCTTCTATTTGAATCGATCTGTAGAAAAAAACCATTAATACGAAAAACATTTTCATCAAATTTTAAAAATATAATACTTAAATTACTTCAAAAAAATCCAATAAAACGATTGGGATCGTTCGAAATTAAACAACGTAAATATTAACAAAGAAAAAATAACTATTAACACATAAACTTTAGATCCATGGTTTAATGAAATCAATTTTGATTCAATCTATAAACAACAAATACCATCACCATTCTATGAAAATGTTCTTATTAAATCATTATCGAATTATCGTCAAGAAGCAGTAAAACGTAATGAAAAACCATTACTTATAGCTGATCAAGATGATTATATAGAAGATTTTAAAGATTTTTAAAGATAAAGTAGGACCTTCAGTTTTGAGTATGGTATTGGTTTATTATCTTAACAAAACATTAGAACGTTTTTGTCATTATATATTTATTTGTTATGAATAAAACGTCATTCAACCGAAACGTTTTTTCATAAGACTGATTTGCACTAAAAATACAATAAAAAATCCTTAAAAAAAATATTAATATATACATAAAATGATACATATCATTTATTTGATATTTTAATATTTATTTGTTCAATTTTTCTAAGACAATATTTAGTACAGTATAATACAATACATATTAGTGTTTACTTGTTTTGATGTTTGTCTTGTTCTTCCATTTTACCTGTGCATCATTTTTTGATATGTTTGTAAGGATGATTACACAAGCGTAGGAGGTCTCGTGTTAGAATCAGAAAATATGAAAAAAAAGTTATTATGTGATTGTTAACAAAAAAATAAGTTAGAGGATGAAAAATGGTTGTGTCCAAATTCGAACAATTACCAGATGAAATTATTCTTGAAATATGTCTATATTTAAGACCATTTGATATTATCGATGGATTTATCCAACTTAATTCGCGTCTTAATCGAACAATAAGTCAATTTAGACAAAATGCAGACATTCATCATTTAACCTTGACACAATATCAACGTTGGTATTTACATTTACTACCATATACAGCAAAACATATTAAAAAGTTAGTTTTAAGTAATTGGAATTCTCCTGGACAAATACGTCTTTTTAATCAATCAATAAAATATTATAAATCACTTCATCATTTATTACCAAATCTTAAACAACTTCGATTAATCGATTTTAGTAATGATGATGTTGATATTCTTCCTAAATTATCATTGATTGATAAAATTCTAATTGATATAGATGCATTAAGACCTTTACTTCATTCAACAAAACTTCTTCTTGATCAATATCTTTTTTGTTCATCATTTCCATTCAAAGAAATACGTCTTTGGGTTGGTGAAAATGGTTTTCGTTTACAACATAATAAAGATCTTATTACAAATCCTAATCTTGAACAACTAACAATTGTTGTTGCACATATTGATGATCTCATACTTTTATTCAAACGTTCACCTAATCTTTTAAAATTATATGCTGAAATTAATTCATTTACATCAGATGAACCAAAACAATATGCTACAGCTGAAGTTATGCCTAAAAAATTAACTGATTTTCATATACAAACTAATGATCAAAAAGCTCTTACATTTGATGATCTATTTGTTATTATAATTCATATACCAACAATAAAATTACTTTCACTCGATATTGAAACAAATGATATGGATTATGCTGATGGTCTTTGTTGGACATTATTAACATCACGTTTACCTAAATTAACACGTTTATATTTTCGTACAAGAATATGGATGGGAACAGGATCAACATTTATTGATGTTAGTCCATTTATTGAATCATTTGCACGAACAAATCTACCAATTATTTGTTATGCTGATAGTCGAGTACTTCATATTGATACCATTCCATATGATATGCATGAATTTGAAACAAATATGAGTGTAACATCATCACCATCAGTTAAATATGGTAAAACAACAAATAATGAATTATATCAACGACAAGCTCATGGTGTTCAATCACTTTTTCTCTCAGGACGACATGAGAAAACATTTATAACCGATTGGTTATATGTTCTTAATCGTTTTCCATGTATACAAGCACTTGATCTTACATCTGTGAATATAATTGATCAAAAACATATTTATGAACAAATACATTTACCACGTCTTATTGCATTAAGATATGTTCGATCAACAAGATGTGAAATTAATATCCCGTTTTTTCTCTTACTTGTAACAAAAAATACAATAACTCCTAGTCTTCGTGCATTAACAATCATGTATGGTGATCTGATTTATTTATGTAAACGTTTACCTAATTCAACATTTGATCGATTAAAAGAACTTTGGTTATTTAGTAGTGATACAGATGGTCGTATAATTATTAAAGATATGAATTTATTACTTAATACATTTCCATATTTACGTAATTTCTCATTTTTAATGCATTCAAGCAGATCAATAAATAGACATATTGAACAAATTATTGAAATGACTTTATGTTCATTACCAAATTTAATAAGTTTTCGTATGACATGTCGAAAAGGTTCATTTTTATTACCTTCATTAGTTGATAATGATAAACGAAATACATGGATTAAACGAGTATTTGGTAGAAATCAATGTGAACATATTCATTTGATAATTAATAAAAAAGAAATATCAGTTTGGAAATAAGAAAAAGTTTTATTTTTCTTTTATCAGATTTTTTTTTTATAATATTTTTGCGGAGTCGAAAGAATTCTTCATTTTGAAGAAAGCTTTCCTTTTATTTATTTATTTATTGTATTTTTTTTGTTGTTATTTTAATAAGATGATGAATAGGTTATAATCAGATGATTTGTATCATGTCTTTTTATAATTTATTTTTAAGGTTGACCAAGCAAAAAGTTTAGCATAAAAAAAAAAGAAGACAGACAATCACGGCGGTTTTGGTGATAATAATAATATAAGTCTAGGACTAACAAGATCAATAGGCTACTGTTTAATGAATATAAAGGAATCAGGATGGGTATTTGTAGATCGAAAAAGATCGCCTAAATGTTCTTGTATGTATGGGAAAATAGATAATTCAATCAAATGTTTTTAGAAGGCAAACAATAACATGAAAGCCATCATAAGACAAAAGAGACCCATAGCTTCGGACAAGGCAAAACCCAAAATAGCATAGGAGAAAAGTTGTTGTTTTAAACTTGGATTTCGTGCATAGGCTACTACAAGTGAACCAAATACTGTTCCAATACCTAGAAAAAAAAATTAAAATTTTTTTTTAATCTATAAATAAATAATTCATAATAAACTAACCAGCACCAGCACCAGCTACACCAACTGTGGCTGCACCAGCTCCAATATATTTAGCTGCCGAATCAATATCACGACGAATAGGCGTGGTAGTCATTGATCGTTGTTGTGTTGCTGTTGGGATAACCATCGATGGCAAATGTTGTTGAACAAGACCAGCATTACGACTGATTAATAAACGACATAAAGCCGATGATGATGTTAATGAAAAACGTGTAAGTGATGCCATTGATAATTAACTATTGATTCGGTTTTAATAACCTATGTAAAATCTGAAGAAAAAAAAAGTTTTTTGTGTTTGAAACAAACGAATGGAAAACTTTTCAGTTGTTTTTTGTTATTATTGTTGATTTTTCTTTTCTACCCTTAAGAGTTGACAACCATCTTGGACGATATGATTATTAACCACTACTATGAATTATTTAATGAAAAACGGATGGAGAAAAATAATATATAATATAAATATTTAATACTATCTTTCAATTCATTAAGATTAACCAAGTTTTTTTTGAAAATAGATTAGAGAAAAGTATGATTAATAGCTAGAGGACGCCACTTGCTTTTTTTTATAATTTTAAATTGAATTCAAAAATCATCATCTACTTTTTCGTTGACATAACCTTAAAATACTTTTAAACGATTTTTAAGATTTAGTATCCAATTTTCAATCATATTTGATTTCTTGTGTTCTCATTTTTTTAATACTAATAAATGGTATCAAAATTTAATTTAAGAGGGATCAAAGTATCAAATAGAATATAGATATATATATGTAAAGTCGTACATATTCTTTTATTATAAGAGAAACAACTATGTTCGCTTATTTTATTTTACTTTTTGTTGCACTTTGTTCATTGTTAACAATTGATGCACAGGTAGTTCCAATACTACCATTCACTCCAGAATCAATTTCTATAAAACCAGATGATCTTCCACCACCGTTTTCAACCGGATCGGCTTCAAAACCAGCTATTGTTGTTGGAGTACCAAGTAATGCAACTTTATATGTACCAGATGTTCGTTTTCGAGTAACCATCTATCGTAGTGGTATGAATGCACCACGACATATGGTTTATACTCCAACTGGTGATATCTTAGTGACAGAAATGAGTGGTAATCGTATATCTATTTTATCTGGCACTACAACAGCTATTTTTGCTGATACATCAAATGGAATTTCACGAGCATTTGGTATAGCGTTTATAAAGGTTAGCTTAATATTTTTATAAAAACTTGATTAAAAATTCTTTTTTTATTGCTTGTAGGATTGGTGTTATATTGCTAGTGCCGGTGAACTTCGTCGATATCCATATGTTGATGGTGAGAAAAGATTAAGAGGTACTGGACAGATCTTATTAACATATGGAAGTACTGGTCATACGACACGTAGTTTAATAGTATCACCAAAAGGTGATCGTCTTTTTGTCACAGTTGGTTCCAATAGTAATGTTGATATTGAATATCCATCTCGAGCATCAGTACAAGTGATTAACTTAGATGGATCAAATAATGCAACATTTGCTTGGGGTTTACGTAATCCAGTTGGTATTGATTTTCATCCTAAAACAGGTGATCTTTACGTATGTGTACAAGAACGTGATGGACTTGGTGATGATTTGGTACCCGACTACTTTACAAGAATTCAACAAGATGAATTTTATGGATGGCCATTTGGTAATAAATAGATATCTGTTTAGATTTTCTTTATACTTTCAAATTTTATTTAGCTTATATGTCACCAAAATTTGTTGATCCACGACGAGTCTTTGCTAATGGTACAAGTCAGCGTCCCGATCTAGTTCAAATTACACGTACACCTGATGTTCTCTTCCAAGGACATTCCGCTGTACTTGATATGCAATTCTATCGTGGTAATCAATTTCCAAGTCGCTATCAAAATGGTGCATTTGCTGCTTTTCATGGTTCATGGAATCGTCAAGCTGGTACTGGTTATAAAGTTGTTTTTATTCCATTCGGTGCTGATAATCGTCCACTTGGTTATTATGAAGATTTTCTCAAAGGATTTCTTGTTGATCCTCAAGGTCCAAGAACATTCGGTCGTCCTGTTGGAATTTTTGAAATGAAAGATGGAACTCTTTTAATTAGTGATGATGGAAATGGTCGCATATATCGAATTGAATATGTCTAAAATTATTAATATCAGTTTATTTTCATTTGTAATTCTTTCCTTAATTTTTTTCTTACATGAAATGAAATAAACTTACGATTGAATATTGATCATTCATTTAATTAACACTTTTCATTTGCCATATGATCATCAATCGCATTAAACTAATTGATCGTTTATCAAACACATTATATAAATATCGTCTGCATTCATATGACTACATCATATCGAAAATGACACGAATAATTTCAACTGATGATATGGCTAATGTTCGACATTCTCTTGCTGAAGCGGGTATTTATTTTGATAAATTATATATTAATCAGGTATTTTGAATAATTTATTTATGATCTTAATCAATAAATATTATTATCGTTTTTTAGGCTTATTTTAATAGTAATTTCACAATACAAACTTCAAATAACAAACCAAAAAAGTCACATACTAGTTTTTGGCATAAATTATTATGTGGAAAAGGTATGTATTCATTTCTTATATTTGAAAGTATCTAAAAAATCAATTTAACAATTTAGATAAAAAACAATCTTCAACAGCAAGTACACAAACAGCTTTAACAGTACGAGATGATAGTGAATCGATACCAGCTCCAGTCAATCGTCGTCAACGTATGGTTCCTACTGAAAATATTTATGATCGTCGACGTTATCGTCCTATGAATCGAGAATATACACATAATAGGTTAGTACTATTTAAAACTAATAGATTTCAAATAATTTCTGTCTTGATATATTTAGTAATCAACAATCAATGCGTCGTCGACGTTCATCATTTATCAGTCGTGCTGCACAAATACAACGTCAAAAACAAATGAATGATGAGAGTGAATTTGCTGTGTAATGATATAAGAAAAAATCTTTTTTGCATTTTCTTTTTGTTATAAAATAAAACGTAATAGATCATGAATGAAATGATAAAACGGAGGCATTTGATTGAACTCATGTAAAGGATAAGATCGCGTAATAAGAGAAGGTTAGATAAAGTATATGATTTCGTTACTGAATGACAATGACACACTTTACATGACTAAAGATCAGACAGGTAGGAAGATAAATTTCAAAGTATGGATTTACATGATACAGTAATCAGAAGATTATTAAATCAGTAAATGTTTACGTAATCAAACAAATAATACAATTAGAGAAGAGGATGTCCAGACAGACACAAGGGTTACTAATAATGAGATCAATAATGTATAAAGAAAAGAGAATATGTTTGGATAGAATATATGAGTAGTAATGAATTGGTTACCAGTCGGATAGAAAAAAAAGAACGCATATTGATGATGTCATATAATGAGTTTATGTGATTGTTGTTATGTTACATATATATACAATCATAAATGTAGTTAACAAACTTGATACTAACAAGAAGAGTAGAAATATATCAATAGATTCATCTATTTTTGTCTACTCTACAGTATTAAATTCTTTCAAACTTGACATGATTAAATGAAATTGTGCGTGCATATACACTTTTTGGATATCATTTCAAGTGTAACATTGCATCTTGATAAATGAAAGTGACCTACTATATATTTGTTCACGCTATTTTCAATTGATTATATATCTCATCCATATACGGCTGATAACAATAAGATAAAATAGTAAAATAGTAATCGCCTATCTCATTTTTCATTCGTCTCTTGTTAAACAAAAGAACTGTTTATGACAAATACTTAATACTCTTTTTTTTCTTTCCTTCCTTTCTTGTCTTTTTTTTTGTCACTACGTTCGAACACTTTGCAATAGTATAGTATAGTATAGTATGTTGACATATATACATATACACGCCTTGTGATAGTTATAGTGGTCATCGTTTTGAACAACAATTAAGAGAAAAAGAAGAGAAGAGGAAAAGAGAAGAAGACGAAGTGCAATAACAAACATATATATTCACATTGCCGATTGATCGACGATTGTATTTATGATTATACAAGATCTTCTCATGCATTACTCTCTTTTTTTCAATTCATATTTGCGCATACAATCGTACTGAACAGTTTCATTGTTTAAACATATATATATAGAGAAGCTACTATATTAATTATCTTTTTCCTTTGTTTCCCTCTCTCAGTCTCAAAAGAATGCCAACAACATCATCCGATCGTTATTCAGCTGTTTCAACATCATCATCTTCGTCTACTTCATCGACAAATTGTTATAATAATCGAAATAATTATTCGTCATCTCAATCGTCTTCAACATTTTCACCGCTTCGTTCTGCTACATCATCACTTCATGTATCAAAATTAATGAATTCAGATTATCGTTCTATGCAATCATTAAAACTTCAACAACAAGTCTATCATACACCTACAGCACGTGTATCACCATTAGGTAATAATAATTATCAACAAACAGATTATCATAATTATAAAGATGAAAGTTGGCTTAGTTGTGAAGAACTTGAAACAATTGAAAAACGTTTTACTGATCTTCTTCAAGAGACATCTGATAAAAAATCTGATCAACGTGCAAAAAGTTGTGATAGACTAATAATAGACGAAGATAATTATAAGCCAACAATATTGTCTAGTAAGTTAAGATACAATATATATATATATATATAAGAGATTAGTATCATTGTGATAAATTTAATTTTAGCGTCTCGTAAATCATTGATTGATAAAATCGACGATGAAAATAATAAATATTCACATTCAACAGTACTATCTGCTAATGAAATTCTTAAAATTGAATCATCTTATCGTAGTATTGGTACACAAGTATATGCATGTCGTTGTTTATGTGATTTATATATAACAACAGCTGAACGTTTAGGTAAACTTGAAGATTGGATTTTATTTCAACATGGTTCACCTGTATGGTTACTTAATTCCGGTATAAATCCAAAACGTCAATCACGTCTATCTCTTGTTATTGCTGAATATGGTTCAGGTTTTCCTATATGGCAAGATAATATTAATGGATATAGTGATATTAAACAAGCACGTGATCAACATATTACATTTCGTTTATCAGATAAAGTAACACTTGCTGTACTTCGTTTTCATAATTTATCGGCATCAAAAGAATTTTTTTCTTATTATATATCTATACGAAATAATTATCATTATAAACATTTATTTTCTAATGGACATAATCGAAGTTCATCATGTGGTAGTACAATATCAAATAATAATAATAAGAAAAAATCATCTTCACAACATTTAACTAAATCATCAATATCAAATCCTTGTCAATTTCAACATATAACATGTTTACAAGTTAAAGATCGTGTTCGTTTAACATCTCTTAATCAATGTTTAATGCCGACTGTTACTTATTCAAATCAACTATTATGATGTGAAGGTCATGTGAAATAAAGAACAAAAAGAAATTTTTGATAACATCTCATCTCCTGATTGAATAGAATCATTGAAGTGTATAGAATATTGACCTCTTTTTTTTTGTTCTTCTTCTTTGCTAAATGTATTGATTGAACTATATTTGATTTTGATGTCTTGTGGTTTTTTTCAATCATATAAAAATGGACAGTATGAAGTAGAAAAGAAAAGATAAGAAATGAATTGAATCTATTATGACAAGTGTTTAGTTCATTTGTCTAAATGCAGAAACCATATCAATTGCCATTGATCATGTTTAATTTGCATGTATGGAACAATAGTTATTTTTCAGTTCATTGAATATATACAATTGTTAGGTCTTGACACCTTTTATGTGTTGAAAAGAATGAATAGGAAAATGAGTGAAATAATTTATTTGAAGGTGAGAGTGATTAATATATTGCATCCTTCGAATAGAATTATAAATAATTTGAAGATGTCAAGGACTGAATAAATGATATATATGAAAACTTATTAACCCTTAAGAGCCGGAAGGCCTTATCGATGTAAATTGAACAAAATTTTTGCAAAAATAAAAGGTCTGGTACTTCAATAAGAATAACTGATAGTAAAAAAAACATTTTTTCCTCTTATAAATATCTAAATTAATTTTTACTCTTTTTTTTACAATCTACTAAATCATATGGATCGAAGAAAATAAAAAAAATATTGTTCGTGCATTATAAAGCCTTGAAATGTTGATCGGATAAAATTTTATAAGATTTTGTGGAGAATTTCATGGGCTATCTTATGGAAAAAGACTGGGAGGCTCATTTATTTTGCCGCATCCGTTAAATAAGAGCTAAACTACTGATATTAATTCTTCATCGATCGTATACTAGTGTCATTTATATTTTGATGTCATTCAACAAGTTTATGATTGGTTGAAATACCATCCAATAATAATATTGACTCTTAAGAGGTACAAATTTCTTCATTGCATTTTATCGTTGTTTTCGCTGTTAGATTTTATATTTCAATAAATTATGTTTAAACGAGCACATATCCGTCGACGACAAGATAGTGATGATGAAGATGATAATCGACCAGCTAATAATGATGATAATAATGAACATAATTCAAATGATGGAGCTGATAGTGGGTATGAAAAAAATAAATCATTTTATTGTTTAATTATCTATTTACATATTTTTTTGTTGTTGTAGAAATGTAATTGAAGATCTGAAATTAATTCAAAAACTTCGACAACGTAAAAATGGTCTGTCTGCTGATGAACTTGCTCTTGGTAAACAAACAAATCCATTACTTCCTGCTCGAAAACTGGATGTATGTCATACTATATATTTTATAATATAAGAAAAAAAATTAATTTTTTTGTTTTATTTATAGTCAAGTGATGGATATAAATTAAAAGCTGGTGGTCTTATTGAAATGAGTACACTTAAAGAACAACAACAACAAAGAAATCGTCCATCAAAAGATTTAAGTACTATCAATGATAATTTTGCTCGAGAAACAAATAGACGTGATGAAGATACAGAAATGCAACGTTACATTGAAGAACAACTTGCTAAATTACAACAAGAAAAATCATCGAATTCAACAACAACTACATCATCTAATAATGAGTTACAAGCTGTTTTTGCTACATTAAAAAAACCTGAAGATACTTTATTTCATGTAAGTAAACATTTAATTACTGATCATTCAACACAAGCATCTGAAGAAATGCTTTCCGAACAAATGTTAAGTGGAATACCAGAAGTTGATATTGGTGTTGAGTATGTATATTTTATTGATTGAAAATTATTTATTTATTTTCTCAATAATTTTCTTAGAGAAAAAATTCGTAATATTGAAGAAACAGATAAAGCAAAACGAAAATTATTACAAACTCTATGCGATAAAAAAGGTGCGGAAAAGAAAATCTCAGCGATTATTGCACAATCAACAGCACCTCTCAATTTATTAGCAAGTGCAACCGCAGTACCATCAACACCATCAAAAACAGCTTCACTTAGTTTTGTACAACATAAACGATGTAAGTTAATATTGAAAAAAAATACATAAAATATTTCTTTTTTTTTATGTAGTTAATACTGATGGAATGGATATTTTAAATTCAAAAAGATTTAAACAAAATCAAATTAAAGATGTTGTTAAACCACAACCCGTCGTTGGAAATAAAGAAAAACATCCGACTTTATTAAAAGGTATGATTAAGAAAATAATGAATAGTGAATAGAACTTAATTTTCTTGTTTTTTCAGATCCTAAACAACCTGCACCACCAGAAAAGCCATTATCTGAAGTAGCTACCGATGATTATGTATTTGATCGATTTCGCAAGAATCTTCATGGTTTACGAAACTGTAAAATTCGTCATGCTTAAATATGTTTATTTGTAAAAAATTTAAAAAGTGCGAAAAATAGTCGATTAAAAATGTTGTTTGGTATACACATAAATTTGTTCTTTTGTTTTATTTATTTGAGAAGTTTAATTAATAATTGATATGATGTAAGAAGAACATTTCGTTCATGTTCTAATCGAATAATACGATGACGAAGATGTTCAATAAGTCGATGATTATTATCATCATCACTTATTGTAACACTTGTTATTGTTGTTGTCGATGAATAATTCATTAAATTAGGAGATATAGATGATTTATTTTGATCAAGTTCATTACCAAGCATTTCGATGAGATTTTCAATATTGACGAGTACTCGTCGTATTGTTGAATCATTATTTTCATCAGAATTTTGTAGGATTATACTATGTAATTCGGTCATTTTGTATATAATCGAGGGATATATATTTGTAATTTTTTTCTTCCTTTCTATCTATATATATATATGATCGTCCTCTATATAAATTTCAGATGTCCTCACAGGCCGCTCAACAATTTCTCTTGTTAGCTAAATCAGTACGTGGTTCAGCTGCTGTTGATTTAGTGACTCGTGTTCTTGAACATCCGGATATATTCGGTTTTGACGAATTTCTTCGTCTTGAACCACTTGTTAAATGTCTTAAACAAGATCATTTACAACTTTTATCAACATTAGAATTATTTGCTTATGGTACATTATCAGATTATGAATCTGAACGTACACGTTTTATATCATTATCACCATTGGCACGACGAAAATTACAACTTTTAACATTAGCATCACTTGCTGTTCATGCACGTATATTACCCTATACACTTTTATTAAAACAACTTCAAGTTGAAACTGTACGTGAACTTGAAGATTTAATTATTGATGGAATTTATGCCCAAGTTATACGTGGAAAATTAGATCAATTAAATAATCGATTAAATGTTGAATATGCTATTGCACGTGATGTTAATTCAGTTGCATTTAATCGTATGGAAGATGTACTTGATAAATGGTGTAAAAACTGTTCAGCTTTATTAAATGTTCTAAAATATGAAGCAATGAAAGCAAATGAACAAAAGAAAAAAGCTTTAGATGAACAAGATAAATATGATAAAGAAATGTTATCAATGGTTAAAATTATTGATTTACAAGGACATAATACAGGAAGACGAGAAAATAATGAAAATAATAATAATTTAAGTACATTACAAAGTTTATCGAATATGTTAACTGGTAATTCAGATTCAAAACAAGGTGGAACAAAAAAATCAGCAAGACAAACAACAAAACGAATCTTTCGTCCATAAATTTTGTGTGTGTGTGATATAAATTTCTTTTATTCTCGAAAACAAAAAAAAAATAAAACTATCTTTTGTTCAAATTTATGATTAAAATATGATGCACTAAAAGAGAGATATTTTTATTATTTCATTAGATGAGTAATACATTTGATCAAGATTTTTGTCCAGCATGTGGAACGATATTACCATTACCGGATGGATCAACAATTATTCAATGTTTATTATGTAGGAAAATTCAAGATGTATCAGGTTTATTTGAAATGTTAATAATGATTTAGAAAAAATAAACGAAATTTATTTTCATAGTATTTCATGGAACACAATCAACGGTTAATGTTGATTTTCATAATGATAATGATGAAAGAAAAGAATCAGATAGTGGTGAAGCTACCGAAGGAACATTGATTGAACGAAAATGTCCTCGTTGTGGACATGATGAAATGTCATTTACGACTAGACAATTACGATCAGCTGATGGTAATCTATTAGACCTTTAAGATTTTCTATATGTATTTTGAATTTTGTAGAAGGACAAACTGTTTTTTATTTATGTCCAAAATGCTCGTATGTATTTTGCTATTTCGAATTTGATATTTATATATAGTAATTTCTTATTCATTTAGATTTCAAGAATTGGAAAACTCGTAATGATTTTGTTATTTGTTATTGCTTGTTATTGTTTTTTTTTTGAATAAACAGTTAATGAAAAAAAAAGAATATATCGTAATCTTTACTATAAAAGTCACGGACATTCTATTTTTGTATTTTAAAAATATCAATCCTAATGTGATTAAAGAGAGCAATGTCATGCCTTTTCGTAATATCATATATACAGAGAGAGAAATCTATTTGACAATTCAATGTAAGTTTTTTCTTCTTTCTGTCACATTCATATTCACAAAATGAAACTAAGTGATTCAACTATATTAACAGTAACTACAATTGGTGCAGCTTTAGCTGCTCTTTTTGCTTTAATTGGTTTAACAACACCAAAATGGTTAAGAAGTGGTTATGGTCTTTGGAATTGTAATAATGTTTGTTCAACATCTACTGCTGTTCTCACTGTTTTGGCTCTAATTTTTCTTGTTATTAGCTCTATCTTGTTAATTATTCTTCTTATGCGTTTATTTCCTCGAAAATTACGTTTTGTACCATTAGGTTTACTTATTATTGCAACACTTTTTCTTTTAATTTCTACTGCAACTTATTTACGTCAATTTCGAGTTATTGGCTATAGTTTTGAATTAATTGTTACCGCTCATGCATTTGCATTTTTAGCATCTGTTCTATTAGCTTTCTGGTATGGTACAACAGTGAATGATAAACCAGCAATACGATCTACAGTTCTAACACCAACAATAGTTCTACCATCTTCATAAATTTTTTAATTGAATATATTATATGTAAAATTTTATGAATAAATAGTTTTCACAATGATTTAGTTTAATCAGTCCATTCTTTCTTAATATGAACAGAACAGTAAAGTGCAGATATTGTCATTTATCGACGGTTACGATCGTCCATTATAGAATGTGCGTGTCTACATATATATATATATGCGTACCTCGATCGACTTCATAAAGAAAAATAAAGCAGACAAGTGCATTCACCACATTCAGTTGACGTAATCAGTACTAGTTTGTTTATATACGTATATATCAACTTAAAGTTAGTATAATCTATCACATAGTACTAGAAAAAAATGATATACTTTTTTTTTTGTTTTTTAAGAACAAATGTCTGATTATCATAGTCATCGTTTATCACTTGATGGTCAAACTTGTGTTGAACCATCATGTACGTCACCAGCTAAACATCGATGTAAACATTGTAATAAAGCTTATTGTGATATGTGTGTTCGAGTACATAAACGATATGTTTTACAAGAAATGAATGATATTGCTAGACAAGTATAAAATTGTTTTCTTTTTTTTTTGTTTTTCTCTTATTTTGTATTTTTGAAATAATTAGATGGAACTTAATCGTCAACAAAGTCAAAATGAAGTTCGTTCATTTATTGACCGACAACGAGCTGATGCACGTGCTAAAGCTGAAGCTATGCAACGCGATATTATACGACGAATCAATGAAGCTAATCAAAACGTTTTACAATATATGGATGATCGTGCTCAAATGAAATTATCACGTTTAGCTGATGCATTAAATACATTTGATAATGATGCATTAGATTTAAAATCATCATTATCAGCTGAACAATTTCTTCCAGCTAAACGTATTATTGAATTACGAACAAAATATGCATCAAATATGTTCGATGATAGACATTTATCTGATGACAATGAAGAAGATTCAAATTCAAATTTACCAGCAGTCAATGAACAACAACCCGAATGGGAAAAAAGTTTTTTTGGTGATGGAGATAAATATCGAATGTATGATGAATTAATTAATCTTCGTGCTAAATGGCCATTTCTTGCACCAGCACTTACATCAATCTATTATGCAGCTGAAAAAGATTTTTCACTTGATGATATACGAACATTTCTTGAATATCGACATGATAAAGTTTTAAATTTATTCAATGAACATTGTAAAATAATGGGAAAAGGTTATTGTAAATTTTTATTTTTCATATTACAATTTATTTCTTTTTTTTTAATTTAATTATAGGACCTCATCATGCAACAACTGTAGAAGATCTTTCGTTTTATCGATATAAATCGTTAGTACCCATTAATCAAGTACATGATGCTAATTTTGATCGTTGTTTACATGATACATCAAGTAATGATGAACATAATCAATATCGTCAAGATTTAGCAAATACAATGAGTGAATCAATGAAATTGTAAACAACTTGTTTCAAACAGCTTTTAAGCATGCATTTTTATCCGAAGTTTTATATATTAATAAAATAGAAAAAAAAGAAATCTTTCTCTCATTTATTTTAAATCTACTTACGAATTCTATTTACCATGTAAATTATATTTAATGAAGCAAAAACTACGTATCTATATATTTTAATATGTATGTAAATATAATATATATATATAAAAACCATTATTTTCTTTACAAAAAAAAACAAATATACAATAATGATATTTTGTTCGAATAACAGTCGATGTATGACAGATATCTATCTTTTCCTCTTTATTGTTTTGATTATCATTGGTTTGATTAGTAATATTTTATCTTTAATTACATTTATTCATAATCGTATTAGACTTACAGTAAATGGAATTTATTTAATTATATTTTCAATATGTAGTATAATAATGATGATATTATTTTTAATAAATATCATTATTGAATATCGATATGATAAATATTTATTTCTTGTTATGAATAATACAAGTACTCTAATAAGTACGGCTATTGCTATAGAAAATATTTTAAATCGATGTTTTAGTTTTGACAGATTTCGATCTCGTAAATGTGCATTATTTATTTCATTTAATCTTTTTATTCTTATCTTAATACTTTATCTTGATAAAATATTCTATTGTACTTATGACTATTATACTAATTTAATTCATTATTTTATTATGATTATTTCATGTATTATTCATTTCATATGTATTTTATTTATATTTTTTAAAATTAAACAACAAAAACAAAAATGGTATCAAAAATTATTTATACATAAAGATATATTTATACCATCCATATTTATTATTTTATGTTTATGTCCATATATTATATTTCAATATTTATTAAATCAATTTTATATTGAATGTATTTTATTAATTAATTTACCACAAATATTCACATTTGTTATTTATATTTCAGTAAATAAATATTATTTAAAAGAATTTCAACAATTATGGATATGTCAAGCACAAGCACATAGATTATGGCAACGACGAACATCATTGGAAAATGTAATGACCATTTCATATTTAAATGACAATTTTATTGACATCGATTTGTATAATAAAGTTAAACTGGAAGTTTAATTATTTGTGTCATACAAATAAATGACTTATTTCCACCAGTGTATGAGTGTGTAACAGAAACAGTGATAAATCTTAACACCTGTATTAAATAAATATTCGTTCTAGAATATTAATGAGTTCATACATGATCATTACATCTAATTAATTTTAAGAAGAAGATTAGAAGACAGTCTATAAAATCTTAAATGTGCCTTTTTTTATTTATTTTTTTTTATCTAAAACATTGAAATGAGGTGAAATATACTGCAAAGTTGTTATGGGGAGAATTTGTTGTTGTCTCTAAAAAAACAGTATATTAAATTACATAAAGAAGGGAATCTTTACTCACTTTCAATAAAAATGATGTGCATCTCGTTCCATTTTTGCTTTGTTATTGCAAGTTTCTGTGGCGAATTCATGTATAGCGGTAATCCTGTCGAAATATCCACTAGGGTTGCTGTCAAGTAAAGCATTGGTAGATTCGTATTTGCACCTTGTGCTGCACTCGTATATCCAGATCGAACAATACGACACGGAAGAGTGTGGGTGTGGATGTCGAGTAGTTCAGTAGTCATAGCCACAACCACTCATCCATCCACACTAGGTTGACAAACGAATAAACATGAGGAAAAATAAAATCAGTTACTTACAAATGATGGTTTTTTGCTTGTTGTTGTTGTAGTTGCTCGAGTTGAGGGTGATGCTTTCCTAGCATAGTTGGCCATTTCAATGGCCTTTTGTTTTTCCATATGATGAGGGGTTTCATCAGATGTTGTTCTCTAAAATGATATGTTAGAAAAATTATTTTAAAGAGACTATTACTTACAATTCGTCCTAATTGATTTGTTTTCGACAACGTTCTTTTCCGATTGGGTTTGGAAACGGACAACTTTTGATGGTGCTTGACATTAAATTTTAATCTAAAACGATAAAATAAAGATGAATACTATTAGATTTTTATAAGTTTGAGGGTGTGGGTGCGAGTGATTGTTGATGTCGAGTAGTTCAGTAGTCATAGTCACAACCACTCATTCACCCGCACCCATATTTTCTTATGGTCAGCTATAACAAAATTATAGATTCTAAAATACAGCGGATCGTCACAATGGCACGAAAAAGAGAGACTTTTCGTTGTTTTTTCGTGTTTGTATAGAATGCAAAGAAATCATCGAGTCAAAAAAAATTAAAATAAATTCTCACTTATAGTCTTACTGAAACCGGTTAGTTCATTCCAGTTGAGATTCAATCGTTTTAATACTGATTCGCTAGCTTCAACATTTAATATCCAATAAAGGTGTGACACATGAACATGATTAAAATCAATCATCTAAATCACCACACCATTCAATTCACAAACTTATGATCTTTGAACAATAATTATAACTTATCCATATTCCAGGGGATCAACACCTGTACCAAAAAAAACATAACTATTCGAGCCCCAAACCAATTTGAGGGTGTGGGTATGGGTAACAGTTTTTGAGATACTTATAGGTTGTTTCCATTTCTTTGCATAGTCGTATAGGTTCTGACAGATTCGAGAGCCTACTGTGCTAATGAAGTTAATAATCTCTTCATATTTTTTACGGACTGGAGGGACTATTAAAGTACATAGGTCATCGGCAAATATGTGTGTCGCGAATGTCTCTACAGTTTCTACAATGTCCGCATGGAAAGCTATGAAAATGAACGTGTTTAAGGAGCTCCCTTCAGATAGACCTATGTGAGTAGGAAAAGCTTTAAACTTTACATACCCAAAAGTACTAATGCTTTTCTTGATTCTAGCCAACTTACGATGATCTTCAATGGTTCATTTGGAATTCCCATTCGATGAAGTTTAACTATTAGTCCCATATGCCATACCATATCGTTAAAATTCTTATCATTTAAGAGTACTAACAATTCCCGAATCAAATTTACATTATCATCGACACCTCTGCCAACTAATATTTTATTAATTTTAATTTTATCTATTAAAATTTGGCTTCCTTCATTTGACTCATTATGTTCTTCAAAATTTTCGACAATTTGGTCTATTACTTCAGCTAATGTTGTATCAATATAACCCGATTCTTCTTCACATTCAATCGAAGAGTGAGAAAAATACGAAAATTGCTGTTCTTGTAACTCTGCATCGCTAAAAATGAAATGACAACTTGATACTGCATTAGTTGCAATTCCAGATCGGGCAATCCAGCACGGAAACGGCCGGTTCCATAGTATTCCGAAGATTTCACGGAAGCAGTATTCCCATCGAACGGATCTGGTAATCAAATCCGTTCATTCTTTCTTTTGTACTGGTACTGAGTAGTCGCATTTTTACTCGCACTGATACATTCTTCTTTTATTCTTCTTATCTTGTTTGCTCTTGTATTAACGGAGAAACAAGCACATGTCTTCATCTAATTTTAAAACAGCCGAACAGAATATAATGAATGATAATTATACAGATTCAACAGATATTAATTTAAACGAAGTCGATATGAATGTTCAAATTACAAACGGTGTTATACAATAAAACCAAACAAACCAATTGATCACGGATCATAATAGTTATATTGTTCAACAGAAATTAGATCTTCTTAATTCATTAGCTCAAAACTCAAACATGTTAAACGATTTTCATCAATTCTTGGAATTCACACGGGATCGTAGTCTTCATCAAGCACGTACAATAAGTAGTAACGAAATAGTTAATCAAAATCAGCATACACCTACTTGGATTCATTCTTATGATCAACATAATCGGAAAGAATCAACTCCAAATACAAAATGTAGCCATCCTCACAATGATAGTAATGAATCTATCAGTTCCGCTCCGAAGCAGCATAAAGTACGAGATAACAACGACCATACCAACAGATTTACCGGTAGGGTAGGTGCAGCAACAACAACAACAACAACAACAACAACAACGACTATAAATCAACAACTAAGTGCATCAAATATTCCATTTGATCAACTAAAAAGAGCTGTTTCATCTAATCTTCCGTGCTTCTTTATTGATTTTGAACAAACAGCAAATACTAAGAAACCACCATCGGCGTTTGAAATTAGAAATTTAATTGAACAATATTTTAAGGAACATAATGTTAGAATTCAACCATTTTCCTTAGTCGGTTGGTCCGGTAAACGATTGAAACTGGGAGTGAACAACAAGGAAGACTATGTATCATTAGTTAATACAGAAAATTGGCCAAATGTCATAGACAATATACCAATAACAGTAACAAAACCAAAATATATTCCAGACTGTTTCGCGTTGGTAGTCCGCTATGTTCCAGTTGAATTGGAGATAGAAGCTGTACGCGATGAAATCAAACGTACTATTACGTCAGCTGACAACATTAAACACATTAACTATGCTTATGCAAGGAAAACTAATGATTTTCGTTTCACGGTAGCAGATTTATCAGAATATAATTCAGCTCTTAAATTAGGTCGAATTTCAATTGGGGATCATTGGCTATCAGTCACTCCATTCTTAACAGGAAATCGAATGACCTATTGCACCAGGTGTTGGAAGATTGGTCACATTAGGGATCAATGTAAGACAATTACTCAACGATGTCGGGTTTGTTTACAAGAAATAACAAAAAGGGAAGAGCATCGATGTTCAAATACAGCAAAATGTGCGCAATGTGATGGAGACCATCATTCATTAAACAGTCAATGCTCAGTTATTCGTAATTACAGAGCTGAACTAAAGGAAGAGGTGAAGACAGCTATCGAATCTGGTAAACTACAAAGGTATGACAACGCGAAGCAACCAGGTTTTAGTAATAAAAATCAAGATTTTCCTGCGTTTAATGAAGAGGATAAATTCCAGCAACATCAGCGCAATACATGGTTTCGCAATCAACCGGAAGCTCATCGTAATGTGGATTCCGAAACTACTAAACTACTCTCAATTCTAAATGAAAATATAACATTAATGCGCGAAAGTAGTGAGAGAGTAGAAGATAAACTCGTAAAAACTGAAGCTAAATTAAATCAAACAGCATTGGATTCGACATTATGCGTATCTACTTTGGAGAAATGGATGGTGAATCTTCAAGTATTAGTAGAAAAAATTATATGGCCGATAGCAGCTCAACTCAAACCAAATTTAGTTAAAGAGCTCGAGCCTTTGCTAGATAAAATGGGCCAGATTAGACTTACGATGGGTACTGATTATAATAGTAGACGTAAACGTGCTGAATCACCTCCGATCCAATCAAACTCATCAACATCGAAGGAACCTATCAACGAAGCAGTACCAAACACTATCAAACCAAAAAAAAAATGACCCTAAGTTCAATGTTTTCTTCGCATGCTTCGCTTGATCCGCTTGCACTACCTTTTTTTCCTAGAAAATCTCACAGTACGAATCCCTTAGATAGAGCGTCTTACTTGCTAAATAGTTGGAACCTTTCAGAATGTGATCGAAAAATAGTATTAGATATTTTGAAGGAATGGTACTCGAGTACCTTCTTAAAAGTTATTTTGGGTGAATGGGAAAAGAAAAATAATCAAGATGCGATTAATAGTTGTAAAGAATCACTAAAAATACTATGTTATAATGTAGAGGGATGGGGAACAAGAGCACTAGAAGTCATAGAATTAATCGGAAAAACAGAAGCATCAATAGGGGTACTGACGGAAGTAGGCGAGCTATGGAATACAAATAAAATCCCACATTTCAACGTTTTTCATCAAAAAGGAACGAATCAAAACGGCGGAGTCTGTATTGTAATTGGGAAGCATTTGAAAGCAACGCGCATAGATACTGATTTACCTAATACTGTAGTGATAGATATCGCAGGACTATCAGAACCAGTTCGCATAATTGGAATTTACTGGCCACAAAGCCAAAAACGCAATCTAAAAGATTTGATACCTTTTATAACGGATGGAGCTATACTAACAGGAGATTTTAACGCTACAGTGAAGGAATGGTTAAGTCCATCAACTGATCCACGAGGTAGAGTCGTAAAGGATTGGATAGAGGAGAACAACCTTCCTTACATACCAACTACTACACACACATCCAAGCGCTCGCTTCGAAATATAGATCTAGCCTTCACAAATATGACAGCAGTGACGTGTGAAACTTTAAAGTTTGGAAGTAGTGACCATTGGCCAATAATCTTGACGTGCAATAATACATCCTTTGACACTAGGTACTTCCTTCAACATACAAAATGGAAGGTTTTCGAGGTAGTCCTAACTTTGCTACAAAATTTTTGGGAGGAGGAACTTAGTAGAAGCACAGCCGAGGAATGGTATAGTCAATATGTTCGTTTTCTAGCCGCCTTAAAGAATAGAGTAACAAAGTGGATAGAGAAAGAAAAGTTTAGACCAACGTTACCTCAGTACATAATTGATAAATTAAAAGAAGTGAGAAAAGTCAGAAACAGACACTACCACCAAAGACAAAGAGGGGATGAGCGTGAAGAGACGAGAATCCTATTAAGAGTGTTATCAAGAGAAGTAAAGAATGAAATAGGTAAGTACAAGGCATCTCAATGGCAAAGTTTTTTATCAACAATTCAACATACACACGACAATAAGGATAAAATGTTCTGGTCATACCTATCTAGCATATATAAAAAGCGTGCGCTTCCATTCTATAAACTAATGAGGGATAAAATAATAATAACAGAACAGAAAGAAATTGTAAAAGAACTACACAAGTATTACAAAAATCAGTTTATGGAAACACCGGCAAATAACTTGGATGAGCATGAAGTGAAAGTGAACAAAGAGTACCAAGAGGTTCTTAATGCATTATCGAACTGTACGGATCAGCTAGTACCAACAAATGTGTTAGAGATTAAAAGACTTATTCGCTCCTTAAAACCAAAAAAGTCAGCAGGTATTGATCAAATTTCTAATATCATGATAAAGAAACTGCCACCTAGCTATCTAGACTGTCTAGTGAGATGTTTCAACGAATGGCTAACTAAAGGCCAGTACCTTAAGGATTGGAAAATTGCAAAAATAATAACTTTAAATAAGTTAAAAGCTGGGACTCCTCAATGTGAGCAGACGCGTCCTATCTCACTACTCGCAACTCACTCAAAACTTTTCGAAAAGCTAATACTTACTAGAGTCAGAGAATGGGCAGAAAATAACCAGTTAGTACCGATTGAACAATCTGGATTTAGACCTAGATGTCTTCTTCCAACTAGGGTGCTTTCAATATACCAAGAAGTGAAGAATAGTTTAGCAGCGAACTTACCAACACTAGCGATCTATGTTGACTATCATAAAGCGTACGATAAGGTATGGCATTCCGGTCTTTTGGTAAAGCTCTGGAGGCAAGGAATGCCTCTGGGCATGTTAAAAATGATTTTTGCTTGGTTGGAAGATAGGAAAGCTTGTGTTACGTTTGGTGATAAAGTCTCAGAAGCGTTCGACATAAAGACAGGTTTTCCGCAAGGTAGTAGTCTTAGCCCGTATCTCTTTATTGTATTCCACAGCGATCTAATTCGGCACATAGGCGCACACTCATGTCGTGTATTCGCAGACGAATTATGTGTGTGGGTGTGGGTGGGTGGATGTGGGTGCGAGTGTCGGCCTGGGTCTGAGTGCGGGTATGGGTGTGGGTGTGGGTGTGGATTGAACAGAATACCGACACCGACACCCACACCCATCTCACACTCACACCCACACCCACACTCACACCCACACCCACATTCTCAAGATGCAGCACAAATAACTCTCGGATTTGAATCCGAGGTTTTCGCATTTGTTTCAAGATTTTTTGAGCTTTTGATAGAACTTTTTAAGAGGATATCGGGATCTAGGAGTTCGAATCTGTGATTAGTTTTTCAAAATTTGTTTTGCAATTAATTTTTTTACACTAAGGATAGGTTTTTTACGAAAAAAGTTTTTCTTTATAAAGTTTAATTAGAGGTAATTGGGATCAAAGAGTTCAATTCGGAGGTAAGTATTTTGAACTTATAGCAATAAATAGTTTGCTCATCGGTCAAAAATAGAATTTCTACGAGAAAGAGCTAAGCGAGTTCGCAGATGAGTGTTACTTCTAATGAATATATTAATCTTGTATAGGTACAGGATAAAGTGGTTGTTCACCTTTCATAACACGTAATATATCTTCAATTGCTTTTGTACGTAAAGCTAATTCTGATTGTTGAGTATACCAAGCTGCATGTGGTGTTAATTGAATTCGATCAAGTGTAATTAATTCTGAATCAATTACTGGTTCATTTTCGAGTACATCAAGTGCAGCATAAGATATTTGTCCACTTTTTAAAGCTTCTATCAGTGCTTTAGTATCAACTATTGCTCCTCGACTAGTATTTATTAAAACTGGTCGTCTTTTCATACGATTAATTGAATTTGATGATATTAAATGATAATTCTCTGTTGTAAGTGGAATATGAAGCGAAATAATATCACAATTTTCAAAAATTTCATCATTTGAAGTGCAACTTGAAGGTACTAATGGGTCATAGGAAAATATTTGTTTAACAAATGGGCGCATTTTAGTAGCAAAACGTGATCCAATGCGACCCATACCAATAACGCCTAAATTCAATGTATTCAAACTTTGTAAATTAGTACCAGTAATTCCAAAACTCCAAATCTTTTTTTCAACAATTGATCGGTGAAATAGTGATAAACGACGATGAGCAGCAAAAAGAAGAGCAACAGCATGATCAGCAACCTCATTTGAACCATAATCAGGTACATAACAAGGGACAATATTACGTTGAAGACATGCTTTGATATCAAGTAAGTCGTAACCAACTCCCAAACGAGTAATAACGCGACAAGAAGGTGAAGCACATTGGATGATTTCGGATGTAATTGGTACACGGCTGGTGATAACAGCAACTACAAGTGGATTTGAAATATATGAGGCAAGATTTGTTGGATCAGAAATGACAACAAGTTCGTATGGAGTTGATGATAAAAGATTTTTTTCAATTGAAAAATCTGTAAACCCTGGTGGAAGTAAAATAATTTGTTGTTTACTTGTCATTATTATCTGAAACAAATGTTTTTAAGCTTTTCAAAAGATCAGATCTTTGTCTTGATGAATCTTTAACAGATCTTTTATCATTTTCACAGTAACATCAATTAGAAGAAGAAAACAAGCGCCTAAATTAGAACCATACGATTACCCCCTGATTTAACTTCACCATATATTATTTTTAGTTGGACATGCTGTTTCCACTCTAAAATGAAACATGAATTTGACTATGGAGAAAATAAATCAATTGAAAATAATATGTGAAGCAATATATATATATATATGTATATGTATCAAAATAATAACAGCAGCTTTTAATTATTAAAGCATAATCATGCGATTATCGTTTTGATGAACTTTCTACTTGATGGTGTGGGTATGGGTGTTTATGTGGATGGGTGTGAATTTGATATAAATATGATATCTATACCCATACCAACACCCATCCGACGCTGTTCACGTAACTGAAATAATAAATTACGTGGTCTTATGATAGAATGACTTGATTTCTAGCACCTTTGTTCCAATATTTTGAGACTGGTTGTAATTTATTATTTAATGATTGTTTGATGTCTTGAACTGACAGATTTTTTTTTTGGTTGTCGAATCTAATACACTTCCAGTTGTATTGTTCTTTGAATAGAATTGTAAAGATACTTCAATTTCACCTCGATCGGTATTACTCACTTTATGCCAACTAAATACGAAACTTAAAGAACGGGGACGTTTTTCTTCAAAATCAGCCCATTTATAAATCATTGACAGTTTCATGTGGAACTTTCGGCAACTAAAGATTCTAGTGTTGGTAGTCACTCCTTAAATTTTCAGTTCAATTGGTCAGATTTTACCTGACTTTTCTAGGCAGAAGTGACGACCAAAGGGAACCAGCGACTGGCTATTTTTGCAATGAATATTAAGTTGATTTATATACCGTTCGACTCAAAATTGTACTCTGAACAAAACTGTATACTTACTTTTCAGCGA